TTTGGAAAAATAATGGGAAACTAAATGGGAAAGCTATTTACTCCAGGTTATTTACCAGACAAAATGGCGGACCCATGGCCTGGCAGGGACTAAAATCGCGTCTCCATTGTTCGAACCAAAATTCATCTAGGGAAAGTTATTCCACCTGACAGGGCTACCCTACCTGCCGTGGAGGGATGTATCATTCAACAAGTTTGTAGCTCCAATTTAAACCAAAAAAAAAATGAATAAGCTCGACAAGGCAACTCGGGTGGAAGTGGTTTCCTTGGCAACCCGAGAGCGTGTAAATGACCCTCAGACAAAGCCTTAGATTTGCAGTCTGCTACCCGTCATTTAAAATGACGCTTAGGTCAAGGAAACCTGTGACTATTCTAGTGTGCAATCCGTGCTGAAAATAACACAACTTTCACATTTTTCTTTCTTAAAAGGCGCTAACATTAGCCGGGGAAACTCTTCAGAAATCGCCTCAGGAAATACCTAAGTTCGTTGTCGTCATTCTAGAGGGTCAACAGTACTCTTCAGGCTCATTATTATTACGTGATGCAGTCAAGCCTCTTCAAGCCCTTGGGGTCACTATCTATGTTGTTGGAATTGGAGAAAAGCTGAACAGGCAAGAACTCTACACCATGGTACAGACCTCCCGATACATTATACAGGTGCCGCGTTTTACTGAACTGTTACGCCAGATGGAGTTCATCGCATATCGCATAGGTAAGACAAAAGCTATGCCCATTAATTTTATATCGAGATACTTGGTTTTAATCTATAAACTACAGTGTCATTCAAGGATTTCCAGCCTAGAGAAAAGCCGTAATAACACAAGTAAAAAAATACGATATTTTATCACGTGTGTTTGATATCGCCAATCAGCTGCTGACATGTCACTTGCCTTTCGCGCCAATCAATCAGGTTGATGAATGAACGGCAAAACACTCACTGTTCTAAATCCATGGTTGTTTGTCGAAATTTTCTCGGATAATGGCTCCTAAAATACCGAAAATCCGTTCCGCTTACACACTGTGACGTTTAAAATTCCTTGCAATTGACTTCCTTGCAATTGACTCGTGGACTCTGACGGCTAATGACTCAGCTGCTAATACAAAGACGCTACTTAAAAATTCCTTCCTGATTGCAGGCCTATCCTTTATAGCGTGTGTAAACAGTGCTTAAGGCATTAGTCTACCATCCTCCCGACCTGCTTCCTGTCACGAGCCCGATCTACTTGACACAACGTACCCTCTTTATAAAAGAGGGTACGTTGTTTTTGTTTTATTGTTGTTTTTTTTTTATTTATTTCTTCAAAGAAACGACAATAACAGATCCATGTCACGAGACCCTTGATG